TTAGAGATAGTAACCATCTTGTATTTACCAAAACTAAAGGTCACGTGGTGTCTTCGTTACATAAAATATAAACTTTTTAACTTTTATAGTATCCACTATCTGTATTTCAAGTTTAGCACTAGTTTGAGTAGAATGACTCAGTTTTGTGTCTATGCTTGTAAAAAAAATTTTTTTATAAAGTATTAACAACGCTTACACCAGAATACTAACAGAAAAAATTCAATAGTGCTAATAGTGCTAAGAAAATAACCTTTTAATAAAGGAGTATGCATGACCAGATCCGAAACAATTACTCTTTATTAAATTGTTAATAGATAAATTATTTATCAAAGCTCTAACTTAATTAAAATCTTATAAAATTATTTACGTTTATATAAAAGAAGCTTAGATCTTTATTATTGTTAATACAAATTTCGAAAATAATATTAATATAGATAATATAAATAATAATGAATAAATAATTTCATTATAAATATTCTAAAAAGCTTTATTTCAATATACAGTATTTAGCATATAAAGAAAAGAATGATAAAAATTTTTATATTGATTATTTATTATTAAAAAATATATTTTTTTTTTATAAAATAATAAATTTTTTTAAATAATATCTTTTATTTATATATATTAATTTATAAATTATAGATTTTAGTTTTATTATTTTATTTATTTATTTAATATATAATAATAAATTAATAAACATAATTATAAGTAAACTTATTAAAATAAAATTTTTAATAAAATTTTTAAAATATACTATATATATATATTGTCTAAAAAAGTTTTAAAACAAAATTTTTTTTATAATAAATAAATTTTTAAAAATATAAATTATTAATTATACAGTATATACAATATAAATAATATTATATATATTATATTTATAATAATAATATTTTTTTTAAATAGGTAAATATTATTATTTTTTTTTATTTGTATATAATATAATATATACTGTATTTTAAAAAACAATAACATGTTTTAAGTGCAAGTATACAATAAGTTAAATATTATCTTGCTTATTTATATTATTTTTAATTAATATCAAAAAAATTTTAAATAATATTAATATTAAATATAGGTCAAATAGTAATTATACATATTATTATTTTGAAAAACAAAATAAAAATTATATCAATTTAAACTTGCAGTAAATAACAATAATTTATAATAATATTTAATAAAATATAACTAAATAAAATTTTTAATAATTTTTAATAATATTATCTACTCAAAAAAAAAAAGTTAAAATATATTGAAAAATTATAATCATATTAAAAGTTTTATAGAAATAAAAATAATAATAATAAGGGAATTTATTTTTTAGTATAAGTATTGAAAAAAAAAACTATTCTTCTAATTCCTTGAGACTTTTTACTAATATTTTTATTGATATAAATATTTGAGTATAAATTATATGATTGATAGTTAGTTAAATTATTAATATTTTTGGTATTGTTATTATTAACATGTTAACTTTATTTAATATTTTATAAAATAATAATAATAATAATAATAAAATTATTTGTTTAATATAAGTAATAAAGAAAACTATCTTTTTAATTTCTTAAAATTTATTTTTAAAATTTTTGTTAATATAGTTATTTAAGTAACAACATATAGATAATAGTTATTATAATAATTAGTTAAATTGTTATTATTAGTATTATTATTAATGTATTGATAAACTGGTTTGAATCAGTTTTGTTGTTTTTATTTAAGTAATGTAATGAATTTTAATTACGTAAATGGTTGTTAAATATCAATCAATTGGAAAAAATAAATTGATTTTGATTTTTATAATTAAAAAAAATTATGGATTTTTTTAAGTAATACAATAAATGTTGTCAAAATAAAAATATATTATATATAAAGATTATATTAAAATAAACATTAAACTTAACAACTTTATTTTTTTGAAGAAAATAAAGAGTATTAATAGTGTAATTGTATACTTTTGATTTTCATGTCTTTTTTTTTTTTATTACTTTGTAAAAAAAATTAATATAAATAATATAAATAATATAAATTAATTAGTTTTATTTTAATTAATTAATTAATTATATATACAGTATATAAATAATAATTTTTAATAGTTGGTTTTTTATTTATAACTTTTGAAGTTTTTTTTTTTTAATAATACGTGATATAAGGCACCTAATCACTTATAGAATTGTTTTTATAAGAAATTAAAATATAAGACTAATAATTTTTAATTATTTTATTGTTCTAATTTTCCTTATCTACCGAAAATCCAAAAGTAAATCCATTCTGACCATCACAGTTCTTGATTTTGTTCCATACCGATGACGCAAGTTCACTGGATTTTGCAAACTCATTTAAGGAATCATCAGCTGTTTCAAGTTTCTCCAGTACACCGGGATAAGCTTTTCGAAATTTTTCGCAGAACGCATTGTAAATTTCTTCATGGCATGGCCATATTTTTGATGAAAATCCCGAGATTTGATCCGGCCTGTCGCGAAGAAATTGCAATACGTTTGGTAAATTATGAGAACCTACGAAATTTTGTGTCTTTGAAAAAAATCCAAGAAAAAGCGATTGGATCAGCCAATTTACTCCAATGTTATTTCGAAAGATAGAATTCAAAGAATGTGCATCTTACAATAGCAATAGAATCTTCCAGATTCACAACCATATGCCACCATCCATTTGGTACAAAAATAATTTCACCAGCATGACAAATTCCTTCCAATGGCTTTTGATTTGATTTTTGGGTCTTTTCATAATAATTTGCATACCATTCCATCAAGGACACTGGTGCTGTTACTTCGGATTCATCTGCAATCGCAAGTAATGGAATTAATAACTAATCGACTGGTTATGAGGAAATTAGATGATTTCCAGATTGGAATGCGAATTTTATCTAATTCTTGACAAAATATTTTTAAAATTGTTGATACAATACCAGGACTCGTGAAAACACCTGGTGGAAGAATGTTGGGTGGATACATTATCCACTTTTTAGAACCGGTAATTACGGCGTTCCAAGCAGATGTCGAATTTGGATCTTTATGGAACGTGGAGCCCGAACGAGCTGGGCCGATTATCATCCATCTTGTAGAAGATATAATCTTGATAAATCATATCACAGCAAGGAGAGTTGATATAAGGGGTTTTGACATTTTTTTTACCTGTAATCGGGACGATCCTTACAAAAAACATTAAAGAAATCTTCAGTAAAATAATCTGGAACTGAGAAATCCT